CCCCCCCCCCCTCTGGACTGGAGACGATTCATGACGGTCAGACGCACAGGGATACGACGAAGATGAGGGGTGGGGAAAGGGGGAGACACGGGGATGAGCATCAGGTATGACTTGACTAGATTACGAGGGAGGGATTGGTGCCGCTCATACGTCCTAGACAGGTTGGTCCGCATACATATAGGAAGATGTCCCCACGTCCTCACGTCCTCTAGGTGGAAACTCCCTCACCTTCCCTCTTCGGTCTGCGGGACGTCGTAGCGGTGAAACGGTGCATCCGAAGCTGAAGCTCCCCATCTCCTCGGTTTCAGAAGAGGGGAAGGAGCGGGACGGTGAACGACGGCGCCCCGGCAGGACGGACAAGGAAAGATCGACCGTACAGGGACCAGGAGGCCGGAACCGAACACGGGAGGAAAGATGGAGCGAGTCTCGCTTTCGCGGGGGAGGGGGGGGGACGACTCGGCGTTCGGGACGGTGACCTACACGACGATGATCATATCACGGCGTCGGCGCAGCAAGGAGCGTTCCCACCCCGCGTCGTCGTGGAGAGCAGTATGGTCAAGCGAGCAAGAGCCCGGGACGTCCGATGGCGGCGTACAGGACAGGTCGGGATCCCACCCCCCCCCCCCCCGGTGACCTTGCGCACGTGAGCCTCGAGCCCCTCGGGCCCCGGCCTTGCGCGTTGCCGAAGTAGGCGATGCTGTTGAGAAGCGAGAAGACGTCGGCCGTGGAGCTCGGAGGGCGTGACGCGTACCGGAGCGTCCGATCGGTGTGCGTCCAGCGCCGTGAGCGGACCCGTGCATCCACCCCGGCGTGGATGAACGTTCAGGGCATGAGACGGAGGTGGGAAACCGGATGGTCGGCTCGTCCCTCCCCACTCTCGCCGGGAAAAGGGGGGATCCGATAGCTTGTCAGCAGTGTTTCGTGGTATGTGGTTCTCACAAATGCTTCTTGTTATCCGACTCTATCCGGATAGTTGTCCATCGCTTACACGCGTTCCCCTAAACGCCTCGATTCGATTCCTCGCACTGGGCCTTGACCTTTGACACTTTTTTTTTCTCTTTTTCCTTTTCTCTTCTTCTTTTTTTGTTGTTGCAATCTGTACAGTCAAACTCGACTCAGTCCTTGTCGGAACACAACAGACAAGGACAGCTCACAGAGAGGCAGAAAAAGTATGACACTAAAAGCGTAGAGGTAGCTCTATGAAAGGCATCTCACGATAAGTGGGCATTGCCACTGCTACTCATGTGGCGCTTTATCAATTAAAAAAAAGAAAAAGAAAAAAAGAAAAGAGCACTCAACGCAGTAGTAGCCGTAGTCCCACCACAGCAGTCAAATATAGGGATATAGGGTCAGTTAATGATAGGGTGGGGGTTGGGGTTGGGGGTTAGGGTCAGTTTATATGTATACACCTTCCCCGGCTCCCCTGTCCCAGCTACATACGAGATACATGTAATCTGTACAGATTATATTATCTTGTATTATCTTATCGACACGTTGCGGGTCCCTTTTTCTTTCTTCTTTCTTGGTGCTTCACCCGAGCTTCATCCGAGCTCACCCCCCCCCCCCCCCCCCCCCCCCCCCCCCTCCTCCCTCCCCTTGTCTAACACGCATGCATGCTTATCCGTCACGCACCTAAACACACACATACACACACATACACGCACGAGGGAGGAGCAACGTTCTACGACCAGACAAGAGGTAGACGAGAGGAATGGAAACCAATCCGAGCAGACAGATCGATCCGTGACAATGACGGCGGCCGCAGCCTTCATCCCGCGCACCTCATTCGGGATCCCGAACTCGATACCGAAGACGTACTTTCTCGGCCACCACCAGGCGGGCGCGCAGAAGATCAAGACGGTGCTGCCCACCATCTCGCTGGTGCTGGAGTGCCGCGACTTCCGGCTGCCGCTGTCGACGCACAACCCCCACCTGGAGCGCAGCCTGGCCGGGCGCGACAGGCTGGTGGTGTACACCAAGACGGAGCTGGGTCGGGACACCGGCCGGGCGCGGGCGGTGCTGCGCGGCGTGTACGGCGACCGGGCCGTCTTCTGGGACAAGGACCGGCCCTCGACGACGGAGGCGCTCCTGGCGCGGCTCCGCTCGGCCGCCGAGGCGAGCGGGTCCATCACCGGCCTGCGCGCCTTGGTGGTGGGCATGCCCAACGTGGGCAAGAGCACGCTCCTCAACGCGCTCCGCAGCGCCGGAAGGCCGGGCAGGCGCCAGGCCAAGGCGGCCAGGACCGGCGACCAGGCCGGGGTGACGAGGCGGGTCGGCACCGCCGTCCGGGTCGTCGACTCGGACGACCTGCCCGGCGGGGCCGGCTCGGGCGTCTACGTCGTCGACACCCCCGGCATCTTCCAGCCCTACGTCGACGACGGCGAGACCATGATCAAGGTCGCCCTCGCCCACGGCATAAAGAAGGGCCTTGTCGACGACGAGATCCTGGCCGACTACCTGCTCTACCGCCTCAACCTGTGGGACCCCACGCTCTACGCCCGCTACTGCCCGCCCACCAACGACGTCGACGAGCTCCTCGCCGCCGTCGCCAGGCGCGAGGGCCGCCTGCGACAGGGCGGCCTGCCAAACGTCCCCGAGGCCGCCGCCAGGCTCCTCTCCCTCTGGAGGGCCGGCAACCTCGGCAGGTTCGTCCTCGACGATCTGGGCGCCCAGTCCGTCAGGGAACATCAGCTCATGCTCGATGAGCCGAGGTTGAGTCAGAATCAGGCAAAGAAGTTACAGAGGGAGGAGAGGAGGAGGAAGGGCGAGGGTCTCTGACCGTCCGTACCTTTTCTTCTCTCTCTCTCACCTTTCTTTTCCTCCCCCCCCCTCACAAACTGTCTTCTTCCCTCTGGTATGGTTTAGTACTACTACTGGTATCGGTGCATTCCTTGCTACCTTGTGTAACCAACTGTATGTAAAAAAAAAAGTGTACAGAATAGAAATGTATAGTATATAGTGTATTTTGTAATATGGAACGGACCGGTAATTGAAATTTCTTTCTTTTGAATTGTTATCGAAGAAGAACAAAAAAAAGGGTATATGAACAATGAAAGAAGAGGAAGAAAATATCCGTCTGTACCCTACTAAACACACACACTCTCCCTCCAAGAAAAAAGAGAGACAGACATTCAGGGATGAAAAAGAAAGAGAGAGAGAAAAAAAACGCCTCGAGAATCCATAACCACGCCTCAGTTTTGTTTGTTTTCAAACTGCTGTCCAAAATAATAGCAATACTCCATCGTTCAAGGGGGGAAAGGAAAACAACAGATAACCAGATAAGAAAAAGTGGTGAAGAAAAAAAAAGAACGTCTTTGATGAGTCAGAGCGAACAAAGTAAGCAAGAAGGAAAGGAAGAAAGAGAGAGGAAGGGTGAAGAGGGCAAGGATCGGATAATGTCAGGATGTCAGGTATACTGGTTCTGCCACTTGACCATATCTCGTGTCAAAACGTCCATCATCTCCATACAGTTCAGATCCTTGAAATCCTTCTCACCCGCATTCGCACCCGCATCTGTGCCACCTGCTGCCGCCTCTGCGTCACCCGCTTCGCCGCGTAGCTGTCTCGAGGGGGTGCCGCCCTTCTGCGGTGAAGCCTGTCCGCTGCCCGGGTTGGAGGCGTTGGACGAGCTGGAGGATGAGGTCATGGCTCCCTCGGCGGCGAGGTCGACCTGCGTGCGCGAGATGAAGTCCATGATGGCGCCCACCCGTCTCCTCATGTCCAGCATGCTCATCTTGTGCGCCATAGCTGCTTTGCTCTTTGACTGGTGCTTCGAGAGCTCGTGGTGGCCGTGTGACGTTGTCGATGACTTGGCTGTCGTCGTGGTTGCTGCCGGGCCGTTGCTGCCGCCACTGCCACTGCCGTTGCCGTTGCCGTTGCCGCTAGCGTTTCCGATTCCGATTCCGTCTCCGTTCCCGTGACCGGAATCGTTCTGTGAGATATCGCGAGACATGGACCTCGCGGGGGATCCGGCGCCGTCGACCGGGTGATTTTCCAGGTCACGATCTTTTGTGTATTGGTTTCTGCCCTTTGTTCTCTTGTGATGGCTGCGGGCGGCCGTCTTCTTGTGTGAGTTGGCCATTGTTGGCGTATGCATCGTAGGCGGTGTGCCCGGTGGGGGCGGTTGCTGCTGCTGCTGCTGCTGCTGCTGCTGCTTGGGAGCCGACTGCTGCCCTTGTTGCTGCTGCTGCTGCTGCTGTTCGGGCATTGTTGTGGGGTGTTCCTCCTCACTCTTCTCTGGCGGTGGGTTCTTGGCGGGTTCTGAAAGAGTCTCATCGGACGGATCGGAATCTGTTTTAGATGTTTCTTTGTCAGCTGCCATTCGCAACACGACTCTTCTCACCAGATATCCCCCCTTTTTGGGTACATTCCGCCCCCCCGCCCCCGCCCCCCCCTCCGCTTTCGAGGAAGGATGAAACGTACCTTCGCCACGCCGATGTTCGCTGCGGACTCTGCGCCTATTTGTGGTTTCTTGCCGCTGGATGTCTCTGGTGCTGTCATCGTCCTCCTTTTCCTCCCTCTCTCGCAGTTCCCGAGTGCTTTGTGCCTTCTTGGCTTCGTCGTCGGCGTGTGGTCCTTCGTCTCCCACCTCGTCTCGGCTGGGAGGACGATCGACCTGCTGGGCCGGGGGCGATCGGGATTGAGAGGTAGTACGCTGCCTCTTGATGCTGGGTGCGTTTCTGCTTCGAAGAGAAGATAGGCGTTAGACCATTGCTCAATTGATTGATTGAATCGAAGGGGAGGTTGGTGGAACGGGTCATACTCTTCGCTGTCGCTGCGACCTCGCTTGGTCCGTCGGAGAACGGTACTGCCGTCACCACCCTCTTCCTTGCTTGCCTCGATGGCCCGGCGCAGCTGCTCGTCATCGTAGGCGGCATCGCGGCTGTTCATAGTGGAGCGTCGCTTCGAGGCATACGAGGATGTCGGGCGGGGGTTCTTGGAACCCCCGCTCCTGGGCGACTGGGTCCGTTCTTTTGCCGTCGATGTGGCTCGCGAGGTGGCGCGTGATTGACGATGGAGCGGTACATATTTCGAGTATTTTTGTCTGTGCAGTGGAGTTAGCACTGCCCGCATAGAAGGTCGTCGTAGACAGGGAGATGGGGAGGGAGGAAGGGGAGAGGAACTCACCCATTATTGTCCGTGCTGATCCTGTGCAGGTCCTTGCGACACTGCTCACAGAAGTACTCGTCCGGGGAGCTCTCAGCACTGAAGATGCCGACACAGGCACCGTGCTGCCAGACCTTGCAGACGTCGCACTGGACAAAGAAGCCGGTGACGTCCTCTGTGAGCTCGAGGCCAGCAAAGAACTCGGCATCGGGACCATCGACGGCCGGGCGCCCGGGGTACTCCTCTGATCCGCAGATGCAGCGGACCGCCTCGTCCTCCTCGTCCTGTATATCGTCGCCACTGATGTTGGCCATGTCGAGTACGTCGGGATGTGATGTCTTGTCGTGGTCGTCTTCAGCACCGTCGCCGCCACCGCCGCCGCCGCTGCCGCCGCCGCCGCGTTTGCGTCTGCGACCGAGGAGGGTATCGTCAAGGCCGTCTAGGGGCTCGGATGAGAGGGAAGCGCTGGGCGTCGAGGTGCCCGACGATGTCTTGTTTGATGGTCTCGAGGTGCGCTCGGCGCGACCGGACGTGCCCGACGAGGCGGACGAGTGGTGTGATTGAGGGTTGGTCGTTCTGGCTCTGGATGACCGACGGGGTGATGGAGGCGCCATTGAAGCAAGGCGCCAAAAAACAGGCCGTCCTCCCCTATGAGAGCAGGGCAGTAGCGGTTTCCGTCGAGTGATATACTGGACGAGCTGGCTATTCCGGTCGCGTCAGAGGGAGGGGAAGAAGGGGCGAAGTGCCGCCGTGGAGGCTGACGCGAGGGGCTTGCGGGCGAGAGAGGGTGGTCCAGTAGCAGAGGAAAGGGTAGAGCTCGTGCGAATTGGATTTCCAGAGTCGAGAATTCGAGGCGACGGGAAAGGGTGTGCGCGGCGGGGAGGGGACAGAACCGTCGCGGCGGACGAGGTGGGCAAAGATGGTTGGGGGGGAGGGAAAGATGAGAAGAAGAGGCACAGGCAAGAAGAGGCTTGGGCAAGAATGGGCCCAAGTTAATCTAATCTCGTGCTGGGAGACGAGCTGGTGTACAGGAAAAGACACCCATGACCTAGCGATGGTGTAAAGCTGGGTAGAAAGAAGAAGAAGGAGGAGGAGGAGGAGAAGAAATGTAAAGGATGGATTGGGAAGTGGGAGGAGCGAGAATGAGGAGAAGGAGGAAGAGGGGGAGGAGGAGGAGGAGGAGGTGGAGGAGTAGTAGNAAGGATGGATTGGGAAGTGGGAGGAGCGAGAATGAGGAGAAGGAGGAAGAGGGGGAGGAGGAGGAGGAGGAGGTGGAGGAGGAGGAGGAGGAGCAGGAGGAGGAGTGAAGTTTTAGACTGAAAGCCTAGGTATCGGCTTTCTCTCTTTGCGGGAGAGCGAGAGGCGAGAGACTCGCAGTGACTCGCAGTGTGTCTCTCGCGCGAGTGTCAGTCTGACTGAGGGAGGGGCGGCTAGGGAGGAGGAATCTACCGTCTGATTGGCCACTGGCACCATTTTTTTTCGTGTCGCGCATGTCATGGGCCAAGGCAGCCGCCGCAGACAGTCACAGACAGCCACAGACAGCCACAGACAGCCACGAGAAGCCTCAGCCACAAACAGCCGTCGGCGGGGCAAGGCAAGAGGCTTGGGGGGTTGGTTACTCGTGATTATCATATTACATGTTGAAAGTATAGAATGTATGTAATCTGTGCTCTGTACTCCTCCGTACACGGATTCGTATTTCTCCCTCCAACTTGCTCATCGTGGCGCAATTGTGTACATCATTCTGATCGGGACGCTACCACTGCCCATCTCGGTACTGTGGTACTGTCGCCTGGATATAGTGATATATGCTTTCATCTAGGCCGTCCGATCGTACATCTTGATAGTAGGACCGAGTTTTGCCGAGCACAATGGCCATAGTCGCAACTTCAGCACATGAGAAGCATGTAACCTGTACAGCTGCCCAAGCTCCGGATATGGATGAGATGCAACATCAGACAGCTGCCCTATGCTCGGCACTCGTACGACTATATTCGACATCTTCTGCACGTCGGCACATTGCAAGTGGTGGGTGATATCAAACCACGGAACTCATGGTAGCACATAACGCGACAGCTATCCATGCTGTGCGATGATCACCACTAGCGCTCCCTGCCCAGGGCTCCTCCTCCCTACAGACGAAACTGATAGGCGGAGGGGCATCTCGTCATCAAGCCCCATGGGCCATTGGCCGACGCCGGAAATATTCCCCTCCCCCCACTTCGCTGCTGGTACTTCTCTGAGAGGGAATCCCCCACCGGCAAAGGGTAAACTACCCATCATCACCGCATCACAGTCCATGCTAGGTATTTTCTTTGCCGTCAGAGTCACACCTGCCTGCTTATCTCGTACCTATAGCCTAGGCTCTACAATACAGTCTTCCTCGGCAAAAGACCTGGATACCTGCCTCGTGTTTCTGCCTCTGCCTCTCCCATGAGCCATTCGCCTCGTCGACGAGCCATGATCTTTGCCGTCACCAGCTTCCTCGCGTCGGCGCAATCCACATCATCCCCCTAACACGAGGGCCCCCAGTTGGCTTCCGGATAACCAACGAACCAACGAAAGTACAGACAAGCAGAGAGGAAAAAGTCATTTATACATACATTCATCATGACGCAACCTTCCATCTGGGCTGTTCCGCTTCAGCTATCCAACTTCAACATCGTCGTCGCCCTGCTGGGCGGCTTCATCTCCATCTTCGGCCTCGTATCATACCTCTTGAAGGAGCAGTTCTATCTCTCGGAAGCTCGTGAGTAAGAAAAAGAAAAAAAAAAAGCGTATCGGGGAGGGGGAGGGGTGCTCAATTGCTATGATTCCATGTACTTCCGTGGCCGCTGATGATGTGAAATGTTTTGTCCCGTCAGTCATATCGCTCCTGGTCGGTGTCGCTCTCGGTCCCAACGGCGCCGACTTCATCCGTCCAAGAGAGTATGCGGAGTGCCACCGGAGCGCCGTGACCGAGCGCGATTGCGAGGGCAATCTCAACGCCATGACGCTCAACTTCTCCCGCCTGGTCCTCGGCGTCCAGCTCGTGCTCGCCGGCGTCCAGCTGCCTAGCAAGTATCTGCAGCGCGAGTGGAAGCCCGTCCTTCTGCTGGTCGGCCCCGGCATGGCCGCCATGTGGATGGCCACCAGCCTGCTCGTCTGGGCGCTCGCCCGGCCGCCCAGCTTCCTGCAGGCCCTGGCCGTGGGGGCCTGCGTGACGCCCACCGACCCCGTCCTGTCGGCCGTCATCGTCAAGGGAAAGTTTGCCGACCACAACATCCCCGGGGACCTGCAGGAGCTCATCATCGCCGAGTCCGGCGCGAACGACGGGCTGGGTTACCCCTTCCTGTTCTTCGCCCTGTACCTGATCAAGTACGTGGGCGCGGGAGCCACCCGGGGCGGAGCCGGGGACGCCATCGGTCTGTGGTTCTCGTACACCTGGGCCTACACCATCCTGCTCAGCGTCGTCTACGGCGCCGCCGTCGGCTGGCTGGCAAAGGGCCTGCTGCGCTGGGCCGAGGAGCGCGGCTACGTCGACCGCGAGAGCTTCCTCGTCTTCTCCATCGCCCTCGCCCTCTTCGTCCTGGGCACCTGCGGCCTCATCGGCACCGACGACGTCCTGGCTTGCTTCATCGCCGGCAACACCTTCACCTGGGACGACTGGTTCCGCCTGCGCACAAAGGACGACTCCCTCCAGCCCACCATCGACATGCTGCTCAACGTCTCCATCTTCCTGTGGTACGGCGCCGTCCTGCCCTGGGAGTCGTTCGGCTCCAGCTCGGTCATGCCCACCTGGCGCCTCGCCGTCCTCGGCACCCTCGTCCTCCTCCTCCGCCGCCTGCCCTGGGTCTTTGGCCTGCACAGGATGATACCCCAGATTGAGCATGCCAGACAGGCCGTCTTCGTCGGCTTCTTCGGCCCCATCGGCGTCTCGGCCATCTTCTACCTGTTCATCAGCATCGAGTTCATCGAGAGCCATCTGAGCGACGAGAACAACGTGCCCCGCGACGACGTCGAGGACCTCGCCGAGACCACCCGCGTCGTCGTCTGGTTCCTGGCCGTCTGCAGCATCGTCGTGCACGGCCTGAGCATCCCGCTCGGGAAGCTGGGGTACCTTGCCCCCAAGCATATCGGCAGGGTACTCGGCGAGAGCCTGGGCGAACCTCGAACCGTCGAGGTAGGCCGCAGGTTTCCCCTGCTGGGGAGGCTCATGTCCAGAGACACAGCCGGTGCCGGCGGCGCCGAGCTACACGCCCCCGTCGCGGCGTCTTCCGTCATGTCGAGGCCGTACAATCCTCGCACCCCCCACTCTCTGATCGTCTCGCCGGGTAGCCTGTCGGTCGACGACCCGGAGGCGGAGGCCGGGGCGGTAGCAGCCAATCCTGTGCGTCGTCGGGAGCGGGAAATCCGGTTCGCTGACGACGAAGGCCCCTTCCCGAGAAATACCGCCGTTGAAGATAGGTAAACTGTTGGCTTCCCCGAATATGTGCTGCTGCTACGATCTGTCCCCCACCCTCTGACATGCCAGACGGGATATCGGTCGCATGCAGTGCAGGGAGGGATGGTGGGTGGACTCTCCCCATGCGCTGTGACATGTGGAATCCGGACATGGAATCTCCACATGCTACGTAGCCCAATCCGTGCGAGCCCACCCCTCTTCTCTCGCCTCCACGGCTCCTTAGCTCTCTAATGCCCAGTCTCAGTGTGGCCCTGCCAGGGTCCCCTGTGCCAGAGCCGAGAGGGGCTGCCCACGAGAGGGCAGAGAAGAAATTCGTGGACATTATACCTGGAGGCTATCACTGTATGCCAACCATTGCTGGATTGATTCCGTCGTACTTTTGAGACTCAATCTTGGCGGGGCACCAACGCCGTCACTGCCGTCTACGATGTGTCATCCTGAATAATGATCAAGCTTTCTTTCCCTGCTATGATTGCTATAGACTAAAATCTATCGGTAGATGATGATACTAGTAGTATGTTATCTCAGCATAGAAAGACCAAAAGAGCCACAACATATTATTATTGTTTTACTTAATAAATAGAAACAGAAAGAAGGATTGTCAAGAACCGTTTGGGCCCCTCCCGGTAGGCAACTTGCCTCTCTCCTCCCCCCTCCCCCCTCCCCCCACCTCCNAGGCGCGGGTAGCCTCTGCGACCGCCGGACTGGGATCGTCTACAACGTATAGGCAGATGTCGGTTGACTTGGTTCTTCTGCTTCCCGAAACACCCCCTCCCCCCACCTCCCTCGATGGATGACTAAGAAACCCAAACCCGCCCGGGCCCCTAATGACACACACACACCCACCCTTCGTACCTGTCCCTAACCAATCCACCAGGCATCAAATGTCATTTGCAATCACCACTCAGTATTCCACGGCTCCTTTGCTCTTCTTGACGGTCCCTGAGCTCGCAGGGTCGCTGTCTACCTCTTGCTATTCATCTCTGTCGAGAAAAGGGAACTCCAGAACCGGCTTTCCACCTGTTGGGGGCTTCATCTGCTTTCTACGACGACGGCGCCCAGGGTTTTGATCGAGAGAGAGCCGCCGGTCGCTCTCCCATACTGACCCCAACTTCGGTCCCACGAACGAGACGACGTAGTCGATACAGCATCGCCCGACCTCGACCTGTACTTGGTAAAACCTCCCGATTTGGCAGGCTATCTGGGTTCTCTCTTGCGGGCTGGCCGCGCAGGTCATACACTCTGTATAATACACCACTGAGCTCGGCGAGTCGGCATTGGGAGGGGCGTGCACTTTGCTGACCCATACATGGTAGAGAGATATTCGATACTCCGCCACGACCAGCCGACGACCGTTTCTCTGTTCTGTTCTCCCATCTGGCTCCTCGAACGAAACCCGGAATCTTTTATACATCAACCAGCCTCAAAAGCCACGACGCACAGACACGTACCCGTGTGCTTGGGGCGTCGTGTTTGCCTGTTGGGGGGGCAATCAGCCTCTTGCTTGCTGCTAGCCCCTTGTCCCCTAGGCACTCTTCTTGATCAGGGACTGTCGTTGTAAGATGCTCCGTGGGTATGCCTTCTTCTCCCCATCTCTCCTCTCTTTTATCCGAAGCCGCCTACCCCCTTCCCGTGGATTTGCTCCCCCCTCCCACCCCCACTCTGGAGAGCCGACACCGGGGGCCGACGCCCTGCCGACATGTCGGAGGTTGGTGCAGTGTGGGTGACCGGGACGGCTTCGGCTTCGGCTTCCTCCTCTGACGTTGGACGCGCATGGATGGAAATCATACTCCTGCCCAGTCTGCTGGCTGTCTCTGCAATAGTGTGGCTAACAAGGCGAACTCTTCTCGGTGCAGGTCGCAGCCCGACAATGTCTCCCGATATGGCTTCGTCCCTGTTCCCCGACCGGCCGATCAGGCCGTTACCGAAACGACGTCTCCGTGAGAGGCTGACGCCCGAGGCGGCCGAGTCCATACGATACCCTCCCTCCACCTTCAGCTCGGTGCCCCTCTTCCAGTACCCTCCATACTCGGCCAGGGACGAGGCAGCAACGCCGAGGGCGGCAGGTCCTGCTAGCAACAGCACTGTGCCTGACCAGGGCCGCCAGTCTACTCGGAATTACACAATCAACGCCGCTACCGGCACCGCCGCGTCTGGCCCCCGCACCGCTCTCGTGAGGAGGGAACACCCCGAGATCCTCAACACATCCGCCGCCGCCGCCGCCGCCGGCCGTCCGGCAGCAGCAGCAAGACCGGACCAGCGTCAACAGTCGTTGAGACTGTCGGACCCGCCGCCGCCGCCATCGGCTGCCTCGTCAGTCGATGGCTACGACTCGTTTGAGAACACCAATAATAAGAAGAAGCGTAAGATTCCGTCAGCCGGGGACTCAACGTTGAATGGCACGCACGGCAGCAGCCTGGGCAGCGACGTGAGCTCGCCGCAAGGAGGCGGTGGGGTGGCGACGACGACGGCAGCAGCAGCAGCAGCAGCAGCAGCGACGGCAGCGGCCGCGGCCGAGGTCAACGGCGACAGGGCCGGTGGTGTGGGATATGCTGGGTCGGGGTCCTTTGGTGCTAACAACAGCAGTCCCGGGATGTCTGGCTCCGGGCGAGGTCGTCTTGTGGGACGGTCTAGGAACGGGAGGAGTCCGCTACGTGCGCTGTCGGACGGCAACAACACGTGGGCCGGGAGGCCACCGAAAGGCCCGGCGCCGCACTGGGCCTCCTCGGGTATGTTTGCTGTCCCACCTCAGCTGCTCATCACCCTGATTTCACAACCCCTTCATGACACAGACCCTGCATTATCTCCTCCCCCTTCTCCCCAAATCCCGCACTCTAGAGTCCTACCTCCTCTCGTCTGCAGAAGAAGGCCCTGCATTCTCGCAGCTCCTTCCCTGTCATGGTCGTGGCTGCCGCCAAGTGGCTTGGCCATTGGAGGTTTATCACCCCTCTCGACAACCAGTCCAAGTCGAAGCCTACCCCGGATCCTACCCCATCCCCTCTCGCTCCCCGTCTCTTATCCCTACACACCTGCGCTCCATGTCTGCCTGCTGCATCTATCATTCCTACCTGAAATGACATCCGAGAGAAGTGGTCAATATATAACTCGGCTGATGTTCTTCTAGCAGACTACGAAGGGGGTAGTGGCATCATCTCAACCGCCATCGCCAAGGCGGAAAGACTGGCTCCCCGGCAGGGCCAGGAGAATGTCAGCCTGCTCGAGCAGCACAGCGCCGTTGCGAAAACGGCACCGGCGTCGACGCAGTTTACGTTTACCTGCGAATCGCAGGTTCCCGGATCTCTTCAGTGGCCTGGTGAGTCTTCCGTTCAGCCGGCAGGCCGGATGAGACAGGAAGAGCTGAGTGGGGAAAAAAATGGAGAGAAACAGGAGAGGAGAGGAGACGGAGAGGAGAGGAAAGAACAACAACAGCTGACAAGCAGCATCAGGTAAAACGGCGAGAGCTGGCATGGCTTCGGAGAAATCGGCGGCAGGGGTGTCCGGATCGTCGGGCAGCGGCGGACCCCCAGATGATCCGTCCAAAGGATCTGGCGGACGAGGGGGCGGATCGTCGAGGCGGAAGAAGGGCCGGGCGCTATCCAAGGAGCTCAAGGCAGCTGCGGAACAGCGTGAACAGGCAACGCGGGAGCAAAACGCGCACAACCCGCCCAAGGAGTCGGAGCGGTGGATGTGCGAGTTCTGCGAGTACAAGGCCATCTTTGGCAAAGAACCGGAAGCACTGATCCGTAAGTACGAGAAGAAGGACCTCCGAGCTCGACAGGAGGAGGCGGACCGGAAGCGTCTCCTGGAGAAGGCCAAGGCCAAGGGCCGCAAGGCCAAGAGGAGCGGCAGCGCGGCGACCAAGGGCGGCAGCGCGGGCAACCAAGCGGGCGGGACCCAGACGGCGGGGACCGAGGCGGAGCAGTGGAACGACGGAGGACTGTTCCACGAAACGGCCGAGGCTGTATACGTGCAGGAAGAGCCCGGGGCGGCATCTGACGGCGGCGGGGCGTCTCGGAGAGGCAAGCTGAAGGACCAGCTGTCGCACGACAGCGGAACGATACCGCCAGGCTAGGGAGTCCAGGAGGCCGTGGATGCGCTCGAGGCTCTTCACGGCCATACGGTCCTGGTCACGGTCCAGCTCAGCGGGCTGGTCAGGCACGGCCAAGCGGCAGATACGGCATCTGGTGGCCCGGAGCGCGGAGAGTCTCCTGCCGGGGTGCTGGGGGGGATGAAGGTTCAGCGTGTCACGTACAGCGTCTTCTACCCGAGCTGGCGCGACGGCAGAAGTGGAAAGGGGAAAGGAAAGGAGGAGGAGGAGGAGGAGGAGGAGGAGGAGGAGGAAGAGGGTGACGAGAAGGGCAAGAAGTCTCGGTGAGGAGGTTTCCTGTCTGCTAGTCACTGGGAGGAATCGGTAGGTAATGGTATGCTGTCAATGGGGGGGCGGTTGAGTGTTGAGGGAGTGTTGAGAATGTGAGCGAGTAAAGAGAAAGGTACGATGCATGTACTCGAAGCCGTCCTGTTATCGGCAACCACTACTGCTCTAGATGTATCAGTCACTAGATGAAGAGGATGGCAGCGTCTGTTCCATCGTTGGGGGGATCTGCATAGTTCCAGCGATCGTGTGGGGGAGCTCATCCTGGGCCAGCCGGGAATAGCGATGATGTTTCTGTCAATGGCGATGCTGTTTTGCCGTCGCTGTATGATTTGTCTTGTACATGATGTGTTTTGATGGAGGAGGCTGATCGATGCCTACTGACAAGACGTACCTGTACTAAGCCTAGCAGCAGTAAAATACGTGTAAAAAAAATAAAAAATCATCGTACGTATAAGCTGAGACCCGAGACTAAGTCGTACTGGTATCGATACTGCAACCCACCACTGCTGCGCGACCGCTGCTAGTCCGGCATTCGAGACGTGTTATGATGTGCTTTTGGTATGGTGTACATCTCTATCCGGACTCGCCTGTATCATGGGCGTATCATGACTTGTAATCATGGCGGAGAGACCGGAGTCGAGGAGGATGGTGCGTCATCGCCCCCCCCCCCCCCCCCCCCCCCCCCCCCCCCCCCCCAACCGCCCAGCAAAGGTGGTAGTGACGCTGAAGTACTGCACACAGCCAGACACACGCAGAACAGGACCCCCCCCCCAGGCACAGAACAGGGCCCCCCAGACACGACAGGCCCTAGGTGGTGGTGGTGAATGTATACGAGTGATGGAGATATCACCTTGTAATCTGCATCCTGCACCCCTGTATCGTATACTCTGTAATAATGATGTGTTGAGAGGATGAGAGGATGGAGTCATACGACTAGGAATAGAGAAGTACGGGCGGTGCTGCTGACCGGTCCCATCCAACAATCTGAACCGGGAGAGCAGCCCCCTAACAAAATTCAAAAATTCAAATAATAATAATAATAAAATAGTAAAAAAAATAGTAAAAAAAAAGAAGAAGGAGAAGGAATGATCCCCCCAAGCTAACCGCCCTCTAGGAGTCTTCTAGGTAGGGGGGCCGGGCGCGTCATCGGCCGGGCGCCTAGGCAAAGTGGCCAGGTACTGATGGGTGCTGCTAGGTAGTGTGCTACTAGGTAGGTGTGTGCTACTGGGTAGCAGCTACTAGGCATTGCTCTAGGTGCTGCTAGGTGCTGCTAGGTGCTGGTAGATAGTGATGACACGCTGCAATGATGATGGTACCCGTAGCTCTGAGTGGCATCGGTGTCCACTGGTCCCGCTGAGCTGGGCCCTGGCTCCTCCGGGTCTGCACTCCCCCCCCCCCCTTTCCCCGTGATATCATATCATGTAGGCGTAATACTCCGTACAGGTACGAGGTGCTTGTACTTTTTTTTTTTTTCTTTTTCTTGGAAGAATAAAATTAAAAATAAACGTGGGACCGATCTGGACTGGACACGCACAACGGCGGCACTGCAGGTCTGTAGCATGATATTATTCATGTGATGGGGGGTGTTGATATTATATCAAATACCTCGTACTATGTAACCCATCTAGCTGTACTCTGTACATGTGCTCGTACAGGGTGATGATAGTCATGATAACACCATGACCTACCGAGTAATCTGTACCTGTTATATTGATATTACGTGTATATGTACGGGTAGGTAACTTTTTTTTTTTTTTTTTTTTTTGCTGTGCTGCTTCTTTCTCTCATATCCCATCCGCTCCTCCACAAACGACCGCGCCGACCTTCTCTCATCATCATCATCTACTACTACTACTACTACTACTACTACTGCTGCTGCTGCTGCTGCTACGGAGCCCTTCTTCATATTTTCCCCCCTCTCCTTTCGATCCGAATCTTTCAGCCTAATCATCCCTCTCCTCCGCCATCGCGTGCGGCGCGCAGAACAGAGACGAGTCGCGAGGCGGATCGCAATACTCTACTTTCCCCCCGCGCAAGGGAAATGCTGTGACGTACGTGCTCGTACGAGGGAGTTAGGATAGATCAATCCACCGACGACTCTCGAGACGGAGAAGAGACGACGACGACACAGTCTCAGGCAATATGTTTGGAAGGTCGCGAAGGAATAGGCCTACACCAATTGTATGTATTCGCTCTCTTCATCATCCTCTCTCTCTCCCTCTCTCTTCTTCTTCTTCTTCTTCTTCATCTTCCTCTCTCTCTCTTTTTTTTTGGTTTGTTTTTGCAAGCGGTTACATACGTCTGAGCCGGATGGTCGGAGATTTCACGTGCCGTTTCTTTTCTTTTCTTTCTTCCTCTTTTTTTTTTTTTTTTTTTTAATATTTGATTTTCTTTTTTTGAGTTTGCGCCAGGCAAATTGCTGGAATTCTCGAGGAAATCAGTCTCTCACCCCTCTTTTTGAAATCTCGGGTGGATGGGATATTCCACGGACATCTGATCATGACATTTACCCTCCCCCCCAGCCTTGATCAGGAGAGATAACACATCATTCTCTGGACTGTCGTCCATTGTCTGTTACACACACACACACATATATATACGTATATACGTACATGTCGATAGCGGGACGCTCCCCCCCATTTGCTGACATGATGCAGCCCTTGACGAGGGAAACGGCAGATCCAAACGCCGCCACGGCCGCAGCCTCGGCCTTTATGCGTCGCGACCCATCGGTATCGCAGCAGCTCTCGTCCGCCGCCGCCGCCGCCGCCCTGAGGGCGAGACCTACGATCCCTACAAACGTCGCCGAAGTCCAGACGAAGCGTACCGCCTCCCACAATGGCGGCAGCCGCAGGCCGTCTCCTTCCCTGCGCGGCAGGAGCCGTGAGAGAGGACGGGGACACGCCGGTGAAGCTCAGTCCGTGGACGCGTCGCCGCGGAGATCGCCCAGCGCTGGCTCCATGAGCGAGAGGACCTTTCGGAGGTCGCCGTCACCTGGCCGTCCCGTGCCGCCGTCGAGGGATCAGAACGTCCCGCCCGTGCCGACGCTCTCGGACGATGCTGGGAGGTACGACGACGACGACGACAACAACAACAACCATAGCCGTCAGGCGCAGGCTCGGACGCAGCCCGTCACGAGCAATAACCGCGCCCCGGGCCACCAGAGGAACAAGACGGAACCGATACACCTCCAGACGCAAAACTTCCGCACGGCAAGCCAGAAACTCAGAGATGGCTCGCAAGCCTCCTGGTTCGGCGCAGCCTCTACGAGAGCATCAGCGCCAGCACCAGCGCCAGCGCCAGCATCAGCGCGAGCAGCACCGGATGCCGCCGTCACCCCCCGCACCCGGGTCTCGGCCTCGGCCGACGACGCCGCCCGCCCGGTCAGCCCCTCGGCATCCATCAACTTCTCTCTGCCGAGGGCCAGGATGTCCTCCCCCGCGCCGTCCTCCGCCTCGGCAGACCAGGCATTGGTCTACGACGCGAATTCGAGACGCATGATCCCCCGAGCCGAAGCCCTCTTCCGATCGCAGAGCGTGCGCGACGCCGCCGAGAGGCCCGTCAGGAGGAGTGGGAGGGGCGATGCCGTCTCGCAGAGTGGCTCGCACCTTACCAGGGGGACTATGAGCAGGACTCAGGTCAGCCCTGCTACCGCCGCTACCGCCGCTACCGCCGCCGCCGCCGCCGCCGCCACCGCCGTCCCCGCAGTCGTTGATGGGGATGCCGTGACCGGGAACACGTACCCTGCGCCGCCAGCCCCGGCACCTGAACCCGAAGCCGAAGCCGAAGCCGAAGCCGAAGCTGAGCAGCAGCCGCAGCAGCCGCAGCACACGATGCAGGAGGAGGGGCAGCAGGCACCGACGGGGCGGGATATCACCACAGTGCGCGAGACGGAGGGACGGCCAGGAGAAGAGGTGGAAGACGTTGCCGAGACTCATCCTGTTCCGCAGCCGGTGGATGAGCTAGATGAGAGCAGGCAGCGTCAGCGGCATCGGGCGGAAGAGCCAGCCGTCCCGTCGGAACAGAAGCAGGAGCAACCGCCGCCGCCGCCGCCGCCGCCCAGGGAACCGACCCAGCAGCTCAACGTCATCGAGGAACCCGGACGGCCCACGGCCCGCAGCCACCGAGTCTCCTCCGTCAGCCCCGTCCGATCGGCCCATTTCGCCCCGTCAGCGGATCAGCTGCTCGTCAGGCATGAGCCGCCCTCGCGCTCGCTGTCCCCGCGCAAGTCCGCGCTCAAGAACTCGGGCGGCGCAAGGGGCGCGTCACCCTCGGACGACAGCTCCGACGCATCGAGCTACCGTCCCAGCCCCAATCCGACCAGGGATGACAAGGCCAGGAAGAAGAGCGCTCGCGTGAGCTTCAATGACGAGGGCACCGCCGTCCCGGGCGAGCCCGTCGAATCCACTGCCGAGAGAGCCGCTGCCGCCGTCGAACCCAAGGCTGCATCGCAACGCAGGTCGTGGTACGGACTTCTCGGCCGGCGCAACAACGCTCCCTCCCCCACAAGCAGCACTACCAACGACGACGGCACCGGTGAGGCCATCGGCATGACGCCCAGGCCGGCCCTGCCCCTCTTCGGAAGCGTGCGCGACAAGAAGCCCAGGGAGCAACCCGACAGCGAACGACCGCTTGTGCGACCGTCTGGACGGTTGTGGTCCGCCTCTTCCCAGTCTCCCCCCTCACCCCCCCCTCTGCCCGCCCCTCTACCGCAGACGCAGACGCAGATACCCACGCCGCCACCCGAAGCCGCCACCGACTCGGCGATTGGCGGAGTCATCGCGGCGGCGGCGGCGGCGGCGACGGCGCAGGATTCGTCCAAGAACGAGGCCAACATCTCGAGGACTCGCGAACCTCTCCCGCCCGTGGTAACGTCGATTGAAGGGACAGGATACGATAGCAGTAGCGTTGAAGGGTCCGACCTCGAAGAAGAAGACGCTGATCTGCCCGATGTGCCCGGAAAGCTGGAGGGCGATGGCGCCAATGTTGCTACCGCTGCTACCACTACTGCTGACGCTCCAGACCTACCGGGGCAGCAGATTGTGGAGCAGCACGCGAAGAGGGGTATACCTTCCATCTCCATCGTCGAGCCGACCCCACCGGCGAGGGATGAGGAGATGGAGGACTCGCCTGAGAACGAGTACTTTGTCGTTCCGGGTGAGTTTCCCGATGAGCAGCAGCAGGCTGCCCCTGCTGCGGATGCGCCTATCACGCATCATCATCATCATCAGCAGCAGCAGCAGCAGGAGCAGCAGCAGCAACACACCGCTTCTGCACCGTCTAGTGAGACTACCACTCCACCGAGAGATGGAACGCTCATGTCCGATATCCAAGAGGAGGAGGACGAGAGCTCGGATGACTCGGCCATGTACAGCGACGCGTACGAGGACATGTCCGAGGCCGACGAGGGTGGATTCTTGTCGCTCGATGCTGTCCTCACTGCACCGGTAGCGAGCGAGACCAAAACTACAGCAAATGCACAGGTGAGGGTGCAGGATGGTACGGCAGCACCCGTCGCCCCGAGCAGCGGAGCCGACGACGGCAACGATGCCAACAAGCGAGAACAAGCACAAGCACAAGCACAAGCACAGGCATCGCCAGACGACTGGGACCACGCCAAGGCCTATTGGAGAAGCCTCACGGTGGAGAAACGCCGTCAGCTCGAGAGGGAAGCACTGGAGGACGCAGGCGAGGATGGCGACCAGGAGGATTTCGCCTCATCGCAGCAATCGCGCAAGACGAAGAAGAAGACGACGACGACGACGAATCATCACCACCCGGCATTACCGGCAGCTCCCGTCGACTACCGCTCCGACTCGAGCATAGATACGGCGCCCAAGCTTCGCAAGACCCTGCGAGGCTCCCAGCCGGACAGCGGGGCGGCCCAGAAGCAGCAGCCAGCCGTCAACATGAGGAGAACTCTGCGGTCCCCTCCTCCCAACACCCAGGGAGCCCCACCACCGAGGCAACAGGCCCCGTCCAACAACGACGGACACAGGAGGATCCACTCCAGCGACGGCTCGTCGGCAGCCGCCTCCGCGGCGGTGGAAGTCGACCCACCCCTCCAGAGACGAGGATCCGACTCGAGCGAGAGCAGTTTCCGACGGGCCCGGCCCGTAAGCCACGGCGGCTCCGGGTTGCGCAGCACGATGAGGAGCGGGGCGTCACCGTCTCAGCGGGACCCGGAACCCTCCACCGCCAGCAGGTCTGCGCCCGCTCCCGTCCCGCCCCCCAAGAGTAGTGGTCGGTTCAGCCTGCGCTCCCTGTCCCCCGCCGGTCGACGATCGAGCTTCACGCCGTCGCCTGCACCGACAGACGGCGTACGCATGCGCCAATCGCTACGTGGCCAGCAGCAGCAGCAGCAGGCGGGCAAGAAGAGGATGGCTGGTCTCCGTCGACCGCCCAAGGAGGAGATTGGCAGCGGTGCAAGCCGATTCGCCGACTCGAGCGACGAAGAAGATGGCAGTGGTGGACTCCATCGCAGCCGGTTCATCGACTCCAGCGACGAAGAGGACGGGACGAGGACGGTGTCTGCACGCCCAGGCACATCGAGCAGGGGCGCCAGCTACGCCGCCGCAGCAGCGCTAGGCGTGCAGCCCCCACGGCAAGGGTCTACCCCACACACAATACCCAAGCAGAAGCAGAAGCAGCAGCACGGCATGCAGATCCAGCGCGGCCGATCGGGCAGAGGTCTCATCGGCACGACGACCCAGGCTTTCGAAGAAGGGTACGGCAAGACCGACGTCGACGGCGATGCCAAAACTACCGATACCGGCGTCGTGGCGAAGAGCCACCGCCGCAGAGGGAGTTTCATGTCGGGCATCCTCGGCCGAAGGAGGGACGACAAGTCGGGCAAGATATCCCGTGGCGCGGCGGGTGAGAGTGCGGCCCGTCGCGACACCAGACTCGAACGGAGTCCGGAGCATCTCAACGTCCTGAGGAGCAATAGCGGACGGTTGCAGAAGAGGGACAGTCATTCTGCTCCCGCTCCCGCTCCCGCTCCCGCTCCTGCTTTTGCTTCTGCCGTCGCTGCACCCGGTACTAGCTGGCCACTGCCTGCCGGAGCCGAGGAAGACGATACGGATCGACCTGGCACGGCAGTGTCATCTCAGGTTGTGGGTGGGAGCGGATCTGAGGTGTCGAAACCGCCTGGTCAGAAGAAGAAGTTTGGTGCTCTGAGGAAGATGTTTCGTCTTGATGAATGATTTCTCATCTCACGTACAGGTTGTCTCTTCACCTTTGCAACTCTTTTTCTTCTTTTTCTTTTCCTTCTTTCTTTCCTCCTCCCCCCCCCCCCCCAATCATCTGGTCTGGTCTTGACAAACCCCAGCTCATTCATTCACTTTGCATGGTTTTTTTTCCCCATCTCAAGAGTGTACATCTTCACGTCTTTTTTTTTCTTCAAATTTTGTTTGTTTATATATATTAAACATGTATAACCAACTACATTCTTTATACCCTCACCCCCCCCAAATATACGATATTGTACCTTTTTTTCTTCATCTATCCCTCTATATATATCATATCTCATTTCTTTGTCTTTGTTTTCTCTCTGTTTCCTTTCTTTGTCCAAAAAAAATTCTTCTTCATTTTGTTTTGTTTTTCGTTGTTGTGCTTTTGTATATCTAGTCTTACACATGAACGAACTGTACGGCTACTACTCTTCATCGGCAAGGAAGAAAAAGAAATAGAAAGACGAACTCATGACGATCAAGTTTATAGCATATCAACATGGACAAAGAGTTACATTATCATGAGGAACGAATAGCTTTCCAGTAAAATATAGTGTGAACAGAACAGGTGATTGATACGTCCTTGTTTTCCTCAACGGTGCTTCCAACAAAGCCTTGTCAACTGTCAACTTTCAAGCGCAAGTACAGTTGCAGGTACAAGTGTAGAGTGCCCGAGAACAGTCCCAGTATTACAGCAAAATATAATCAACGCGCGCTAATGCACAACATCATCGTTTCTACTTACAGTCCGACCGCATGCATCTCATCCTCCTCGCTCAATCTCAAGCAAAATCCTCTCGTGATGGAAAAAAAAAAAAAGACCTCATGAAAGAGCTGATGAGAGATCTGACCAGACCATAAGAGACCTGTCCATTATGTTCCTGAAGCAAAACAGCGTCAAGATGTAAAAAGAAGGGGAAAAAACCATCGTTTAGCAAATCATGAAAAATTAAAAAAAAGTTAAAAAAAAAAAAAAGTTAAGACATGATTGAAGACAGATCCTGCTAATATAAAACTCCGACTAATGACGACAAGGGAAACAAGATCAGGTATAGTACATTTACGTCACCGGAAAAAGCACAGCTAATGCTTTGAAAATGACCTCCCGGACCGAGCGTCATTCTCCCTCTCGAGCAGCAGCGTCAGCTGACTCTTGGTCCTGCCGAGCGGGACGCTGGCCGACGAGCTGGGCAGGGTGGGAGTGAATCCCGGTCCGCGGTTGGCGGCCGACAACCTCTTCGAGTCCGGGTAGTCGTCTTCGCCGGGGCCGTATTGCTGATCAGGGTAGTCGCCAGCGCTGGGGTGGAAGCCCGCGGCTGGGTAGCTACCCGACTCGTCCAGGATCATGCCCTGAGCCTGTACGTTGGTCGTCGAGGCGGCGGCTCCCGCGGCAAGACCGTTGGCGGTGCCTAGTATAGCGCTGCTTCCGCGTCGGTGTATGAAGCCGCTGTGCGAACGTGAGTGTGTCATCGGCGTAGATCTGGCACTTGGGGGTGCGGCCGTGGCAGCACTGGTGGTCGTCGTAGCAGCGCTAGTGGTCGCCGTCGAGATGGAGGCAGGGTTGGAGGAGGGAGGCTCGGCAGAGCCAGACGCGGAGCCGATGGCGTTGGCCGGGGCAGAGCCGGATCCGCCAGCAGCCTTGCTCTTGGTCGGCTCCGGAGCTCCGGCGCCGCTCTTGGCTACTGCTGTTGACAAGTCCACGCTTGACTGCGCCCTTCGCTTGGGCCTCTCGCCCTTTCCAGCCGCGTCCGACAGGCGGATCAGGGATGCGGAGGATTGCTTGATCCCTCCGTTTCGACACGCCCTGGTGGCACCTTCGCTTCTGCTGTCGTGCGTGCTCCTTCGTGACGGAGCGGGGCGCTTCCCTGCTGCCTTATCGCTCAGCTTGGGCGACGAGCTGCCAACCGCACTCCCAGAAGCAGAGCCTTCTCCGAGGGGCGAGGTGGAGCGCAGGGGGGTCGACGGGCTCCGGTGGCTCGATGGCTCGGAGCCGCCGTCCCTGGAGGGGTGGTCCGACAGCGCCTGGACGGATGGATGCGAGCTCGTGCGCCTCGCTATGGCGGGTCTCCTCTTGGCAGAGGCCGTCGAGGCGACAAATTTTTTGGATGTGGAGCCCTTCTTCTTGAGCGGCGACATGACGGGAGTTCGACTTTCGAGCGAGGGTGTGACGGTACTCCCAGACGAGACGTTGGCCTCGTCCTCGTCGGCTTCGGATATCGGAGGGGAGACAAAGCGGGCCGTGGGGCGGGATCCAGATGTCGACGGCCCTCTAGGCTTCTTCAGGATGGGGTGAGGGGGCGGCGGTTTCGTGGCGCTCGAGGATGAGCCCTTGGATGAGCTGTCGGTGTCGGCGGTGGCACCGGTATGCCCATCCTTCTGAGGCGGCGTCTGCCGAGCTTGCTGGGCCTGGGTCTGCTGGGTCTGAGTCGGCACAGTCTGCTGGGCCCGCTCCGGCTTCTCGGGGTTGATGATGGAGAGGGCCTGGCGCAGCAGAGGCGGGACCTGGGACTGTTTAGAAAGGGAGGGCAGGACAAGGGCAGAACGGTGCGCGCGCGAGGCAGAGGGGGGCTCGAGGCAAGAGGGGGCATGCACAGTATGCCGTGAAGGAATCGACATACATTATCCCCTTCCCATCTGTTGGGCGGGCCCTTCAGAGAGACAAAGGTCGGACCGAGCGAGATGTCCTCGTACAAGGTGGCGAGGACTTCGCCGTTGAGATAGCGGCGATCGCTACCTAGGACGTGCCACCAGAAGTTTTCCAACCTCCGAGCGGTGGGATCCTGGAGCTTCTTGTTTGTGGTTGTGTAGACTGAATTGTACGACGTGTCAGAGATGATGTGCAGAGTCAGAGTCGGGGGGGGGGGGGGGGGGGAGAGAGAAAGCTCTCCCTCTATCTCTCGACTAACCACGCCATATTTGCCAGACCCGGTCCATGGGCACCGTGGGATGCTTGGCGACCTCGTTATAGATTTCCTTTGTGTTGACGACGATGCCCTTGGGCAACGTCATGGCTGTTTCGGATTCCATTGTAGTAGTGTATGGGTGCGGATCGAGAGCTCAGTCGGGCTCCGCGGAGGAAGAGAGAGAGAGAGAGAGAGGCTTGGCCGTGAGCGCGAGACGCGGTGAAGCCACTACCCTGGTGTGGGGAGAGAGAGAAGACGGGGGGTCCTCTGCGTGTCGATCAGGGTCGCCAGGGCACTCGGGTAGTTGTGCGTGCGTTATCTATCTAGGGCCGGAAAAGCAGGGCATGGTTGTTGACATGTATTTCACGACGGCAGCAAGGCAGCCCCGCCGTTTGAATTTGAAGGATTCAGAAAATAGCAGAGTGCGGGCGGGTGGTCCGGGACGTGGTCGAGGCCGAACGAGGGCGGCGGATAAGACGGGGGTTGGCAAGACACGCAACAAGGAGCAGGAAAAAAAGAAAGGAAAGGAAAGGGAAGGGAAAAAAAAAAAAAGAGGTCACAAGATGGACAGCCTCGCCTATTCAAGAACAAGGTGAGAAGGGAGAGGAGGGGAAGGACTGCTGGCGCGGCGCGACACGGTGAGATGGGCCTTGGCCGGAAGTGGGGGAAGAGGGTCCGTGTGCAACGGGGTTTTGGAGTAGCTTCTGCTGCTGGCTGGCTGGCTCCAAGTCGCGGTGAAGGGGTCCTACAAAGACTCCAAGGACGATGGGAGACTGGATTCTGTGCAGGCCGCAAGCAGAGTGGCGATGAGCAGTGAGTGAAAATGTTTGACGAGATTTGTTGAGAGCGCTCGTGACCCGTCCGAGTGATTTGTGGTCGGATGAGGGGGGGGGGGGTTCGATTTTACCGTGTGCCGCTGTCCTGTACAAAAGGGAGAAGAAGACGGAGAAACGAAGGGGTCTCGAACAGAGGAGGCCGAGGCTGTCGAATCCCTTCAGAATTGGCAGCAGTAAGCGGTGGTGGTGACCGGACGGGGATGGCCGGTCCCTCTCGGTATGCCCGTTATTGCCAAGCGGACAGGGCGATGGCGCGAAAACGAGAGAAGGGATGATACCGTTGTACTGTGTATTATCGATACAAGGTGGAGCAAACCACCGAGGAAGAAGAGAAATAAGGAAAGAAAGAAGACAGAGACACGATTGTCGGCAGACGCGGACAGGTAGAGAGAGTGTGGGTGTGCGCGTGTGGAGTGGGAGAGAGACGCTGGGACGGGAAGATGAAGTGGGGGGTGCAAGAGAGTTTGGAGGCTGAATGGTGATGAGAATAAACTCCGATACCCGGAAGTTGTCGTAGGGCCAAGCACACTCACTCACTACCCGAGAGGGAAGAGGCCCGAGGAGGTGGTGGTTGTTCTCGAAGAGTCGAATACGATCGGCGTGGCTCTGGCTGTCGGATGGACAGGGGTCAAGGGCAGGGAGGGCGCAGCAAGTCAATGCCAGTTATCTTGGTACGTGGGGGAATGTACTGGCTTCTGTTTCTCGTTCCTTGTTTCTCGCTTTTTCTGGGCCGTTGATTGTCGTCATAAGTCGTACTATGTAGCCGGTTGGCCACGTTGTATTACCACGGTCGATGACCCTCGAGCCCATACAGCCGAAACAGAGAAGAGGGGAAAGAAGGAGAGGGGGGAAGAGAATGAGATATGAGAGAGAAGGGAGGAGGAGGAGAAGAAGGAGAGGATGGACGGAAGAGAAAACCACAGTCTCTCAATTGAAAGGGAAGGCACGATGGCGGGACCTGGAGAACGGAAGGTACGTAGGCACCAACCAGCCTCAATTGCTTCATCCCAGCAGCACTAGCAGTCGTAGTGTCATGATCGGACATTGCACCTTCATGACTCGACCTCGGACTTGGGTCTTTGGGTCTCGTGTGATGATACAGCTGGTATGTGATGTTGGCAGTATCGGTATCGGTAGTCATACGTAATATAGAGTAGTGATAACGTTGTACCATCGATCCCATATCACATCTACTCTGTAATGCTTCCTTCCCTTATCCATCCATGCTCTCAACTTACCTATCCCTCGGCTTACTACTCTTAGACGGCATGTATATAAGATGATATGTGGCCAAGACCTTCCAGTTACCCAAACGAGCAGCCTCATCTTAAACCGTTGCCGCGCATATAATATCGGTTGAGAGGAGGGGCACAAGCTATCGGTATCGGTATTACTCTATATTCTATCACGTTCAAGGATAGACAGAAACAATCCATCAATGGCGGTCAGCAGCTATCCCCCCCCCCCCCCCCCCCCCCCCCCCCCCCTCCCGCCCCCAGTGGACCGCTTTCTAGATACATGATACATGAATCCGAGAGGTACATGACCCTGAGTACAAGGTAGCAGAGGCACTCGAAGGGCTTGTAGCCAGCAGCTGTCGGGACGTGGGTAGCGTGACCCAAAATGGGAATACGAGTCGTAACCTCTCGGTGTACTTGCTTGTCTGGCAATTCGCTACATCCAACCATCAGACGACTCGTCGTCAACAAACACCATCACGAGATCAATGCAGAGAGGTTGGGATATGGGACATGCACACTTAGACACACACACACACACACACACAGAGAGAGAGAGAGAGATGGAGTGTGTGTGGGTGTGTGTGAGAGTGAGAAAGAGAGAGGGAGGGAGAGGGAGGGAGAGAAATGACCGTGCTCGTACAGAAATCAGAGACAGAAAGAAAAAAACATGATTCAAGCTTCATCTACCCCGCAAAAAGAAACAATGTGGGGGGGATCAGTACCGGAATCATGTCTTGGGACTCTCCAACCCTCAGATCTGGAACCTCAGACCTGGAGCAGCCCGCAAACTTGGAAATCTCAGACCTGGTCAAGCCAAGACACAAGACACAACACAGCTTATTGCCACCCTCGTACGACTGTCTAGCAAAAGAGCGAGGAGATGTCTGAGACGAAAATCATGTGAGAGAGACTTGATCATGACCGGCTGTGTCGTGCCACCGCTATCGAGTCAGGCTCCCGCATCGACGCAACCGGTCGTCAGCATCGAGCCCTTGGGGACTCGACCTCCGCATCGCCGCCACCGCGAGGGGAGGACGCATCTAGGTTACCGTGTACCCCCCATCGACACGGATATCAGCACCCGTGATATACCCGGCCGCATCCGAGAGGAGGAAGGCCACGGGGCCCATGAGATCCTTCGGCTGACCCATCTTTCCCTGCGGGATCAGCGACGTCCACTTCGTCTTGAGGTCGGGTCTCTCGTCGAGGATCTTCTCCGTCAGCGCCGTGAGCATGTACCCGGGGGAGACGCAGTTGACCCTGATCCCCGCCCCGGCCCACTCGACGGCGAGGGAGGCGGCCATCTGGCGAACGGCAGCCTTGGACGCGTTGTAGGGCCTGCGATGCCGAGGGGACCGTCGTCAGCAAACGCCCCCTCCTCTACTCCGCACGACAACCGAGAGAACTCACGCTTGGGGCTGCGGGACGTTGACGACCGAGCCCGACATGCTGCCGATCATGACCATGCTCCCGGGACTCCTGCGCTCCATGAGATGCCTGGCCACGGCCGTCGCAAAGAGGTACGTGCCGTCTACGTTGACGGCCCACAGCTTGCGGATGCGCTCGACGGGGTAGTTGATGGCCTCGAAGTTCTCCGTGAAGCCAGCCGACGTGACGAGGTTGTCAATCTTGCCGTGCGCCGCTATCACCTCTGCGATGCAGGCGTCGACGGACTCGCTGTCGCCCACGTCGGCATAGTGAGCCGTGACCTTGGGCACGCTGATCGCAGTCAGTCCTGGATGGCCCAGACACGTGCCACGTCTCCTTCTCGTGTGATGGGGAAAGCAGGCTCACAGATCAGCATTCGGATTCTCCTTGACGAACGCGTCGACGAGCAGCCCTCTCTGCTTCTCCGCCTCATCCCTATTCATGTCCACCAAGGCCACGTTGGAACCGGAGTACACCAGACCCTGGGCGATGACCAGACCTAAGCCGCGTGCACCGCCCGTCACCAGCCCAACCTTCCTGTCGAGGGTGAAGGTGCTGAGGGTGGGCTTGACGTATTGGCCTCCGGTTCCGCGGACAGGCTTGCTGCTGGGAAGCTCGTGCTCCTCTGGGTGCTCGACCTCGATGGCGCCATCTGTACGGGCGTGGCTGCCCGGCTTGTTGCCGTTGCCGCTGCCGCTGTCATGGAGAGGGGGGGTGCTGTGCAGTCCCCTGGTGGTGCCGGCAAGCGAATATCTAAACGCCGGCGAGGCCACGGTAGCTCGTCGGGTGGCACGACGCAGCACGGGGGTGAATACCGACATCATATCGAACGGTGGCGATAGATTTGAGGTTTTTTTTCTTTTCTCTTCTTTTTTTTTCTTCTTCTTTCTTCTGTGCGTAGGTGGGTAGATTGAGAGGAGAGGAGAGGGGAGGAGAGGAGCTCAGATGCTCGTCATCGAGGGTTTACGAGAGACTCATCAGGCTGCCACGATACCACGAGTAGGAGGCAACAGGAACAGTCCAGTAAAAGCAGCGAGCGGGTGGTCCGGCTCCCGGGGGAGGGGCAGGTGGTCGGGTGACTTGAGGACTACGCGGCTCATAGCAGGCCCTCCCTCTCTCCTCTGTCCTTGGCAGCGACCCCTCAACGCAGCAGCCACGTCGCAGCATCGGACAGAGAAAATCAGCATGTAGTCAACACAGCAACCTCACGGATCACGACGTCGCAGCGAGGCAGAGCCAGTGGCCCAGGATACCTACACTCGGACGAGGGACTGGAGATGAGGTGCTGACGATGATGGCGGTATCCACCAGTAAGCGAAACTTGATGCATCTTGCATCGAGATGCGCATGCCCCCACCCCCCACCCACCACACCACTGTATCGGCGGTGAACGGCTTTTCGCGTTGAAGGCGCCAAGCAGAGCATAGGCTGCATTATATATGATATGGCGGGGGGATCTAATCACCGTGACGGCTGAGCCGGACCTGACGAGATTTCTCGCGCAGCCGACTCTTACGCGCGACCGATGGCAGGCTCACCGATCACGGCCCACCGTGCCTCTGGTCTTGATATCTCTCACGTGGAGGCAAGGCAGGGACGGGGGCGGAGCCGTATAGGCCACACCGACGTATCGGCCACACGGCAGACGAGGGGAAGACTACAGTCGATGTGATGGACGGAGAGAGCGTGCGTGGGTGATGAGCAGAGAGCTCTGCCCTGGCACTCCCTCACAGCTGTCAGGTGACCACGGCCACTCCCGCCCGGTGAGTATATCTTACATGTCCCTCTCTCGAGCACTCTATAGTGCCTCGGCTCAGGTCACCCGGGGACTGCGTGAGAGCTGGCCGGGCACTGACGCCGATGAGGGCACTCGACGAAATGCATCCGGCATATGTGTCACCTCATCCACGGCAATGCCTGCCTCGTCCTCTGTCCCCGGGAATATTCCCAGTCTTCTGTCATGGACCTGATTACAGGGTATGCCCCGTTCGCTTCTCCCACGGCAACACGTTAAGCAGCTTGTCCTTTTTCATGTTCAGCGAGCAGCGCAGACGTCTGAAGACCCTCCATCTCTTGTTGATGCAGATTATCCGTTTCTCTTCAAGAATCGTCTCCCTCTCTCGCACGATTCTCTGCAGTAAGCCATAGCCACCATCGCATCATCTTTCCGGTCAGATCCCTCCCCCAACCCCCTGCCCCACCTCTTCTCTCTCTCTCTCTCTCTCTCTGTGCCATAGATCGGCTGAGAAGACGCCGGGGACGATGCGACCTAGACCAAAGCATCACCCGCGCGGTCCTGATGGCGGCTCCATCCAGGAAGAAGCCGTCAGAATGGAACCTGCTCCCTCTCCCCCTGCTCCCTCCCCCTGCTCCGACGATACCAGCTATGCGTCGTCTGCCTGAGGACGACGAGTTCCCCATCAGAAAGGAGGAAGAGACAGCCACGGGGAAGAAGGAAGACGAGAAGACAGTCACCGAGAAGAAGGAAGAAGAGGAGACAGCCACAGAGGAGATAGAGGTGCCTCCCCCCTCCAACTGTTGGACGGTCCCGCTGGAAGAGAGGCGGCCGACTACCCAGATGCCACGTGCCCTCACTCCATCTTCGCCGGGCTGCACCGCACTCTCGACCCGGTGGTCTTCAACATCCCCCGTCGTCACCGGGAGATGAAGGCCGGCATACGAAATGCCCGCGGCAGGCTCACCCGGCCCCAGGTCCATGTGGAAGCCGCCGTCGACCTCGCCGACTCCCACCCGCGCACGGTAACTCACCTGATGGCCATCCTTGGCCAGCTTGACGGAAAGCACCGGTCCTCTCCAGCGGTTGGACAGGACCGTCCCCGGGTCGTATGCCCGGGGGGGGGGGGGGGGGGGGGGGGGGGGGGGGGGGGGGGCATCCGCAGAAGCGTCTGTTGGGATGGACCGTCGACATCATCAGCACGCAGTCTCGCCTTCNGGGGGGGGGGGGGGGGGGGGGGGGGGGGGGGGGGCATCCGCAGAAGCGTCTGTTGGGATGGACCGTCGACATCATCAGCACGCAGTCTCGCCTTCTGAAGAAGGTGGTGACGTGTGTGAAGCAGTTGGAGAGCGAGATCCACGAGGACGGTCCCCCGACCGCGGGGTTCCGAGGCCTTTGAGAGGGCTTCCGCAACATGACGATAGCGACGAGCAGAGACCTGCTATTCGTCTCTCCTCCCTCCTTCTTCTCTCTCTTATCCTCAATCCTCCTCCCTCTGCGTCAGGGCAGCGAAGCCCCGCTCATGAGTCAGCGTCGAATGTCATGGTAGTTGCTGACGATATTGACGCGACGACGTGGGGCGTCGCCGAGTCCGTCTCAGAGCGGGCAGACGCGCATGGATGGAATTGAGCTGACGCCGGCCATGACAAGTGAGCTGTCACAGGACGTTGTAACTTTTATATATATATGTATATATATAAAATCTCTCGTGACGCATCTTGGCCGTCTGCAGTCTCAACGTGCTGATGGTAGTCCATCCACCATCTTGTTCGGGAGTCGGCGTGCTATGAAGACGAGGGGGTTTGAGTACGTCGAGACGTTGAGAGCTGTCGAGGGGTAATAGTAATACTAGTTGATGGTCGAGGGATAATATGAGAGGTCATCGATTCCATCGAGGGGTTGAAGCACAAAAAAAAAAAAAAGAATAAAAAAAGAATAAAAAAAAAGCAACTAAAGCTGCATGGCCCGTCCCACCTTACGTCACTTGGACGGATGGGTTTTTTTTTTTGGGGGGGGGGGGGGCGAGGCGTAGCAATGCAGGAGAGGAGGTGCGAAAGTAAGGGAGAGCCCTTCAATCGAGGTTCACGTCTTGACTGTCGATAGCTAGCAATGCTACAGCTCTCTCCCCATCTCCTTTTACCCTCTCTCATCTGGAGGGATGCATGGCGCTGCATGATATCGCTCATCTGTGAGTTCGGAATGCCGGATCCAGGATCTCGGCCGTGTTGGCGTGATGCCCACGCACATGCAGTGTCAGGGGGAGAATCATCTACCAAGACGGTTAGCAGCTGCATCTGCACGGGATGTACGGAGCAGGCTGCCTCGCATCCCACCACGAATGATGATGGATTGTACAGTACTTTTGCGGCGCCGTACGGCATTAGCCGCCGTCACCCGTTCTCGATGCCGATCCCCGTTGTGGCTCGGCGTCGATACGACGTCTCATACCGGCGAGAGGAGAGGACGACGTTGCTGCCAGCAGCATCACTGTGACTGCGACTACGTGTACGGAGGCATGGCAATGTGATTTTTGACATGAAGGGCGGTGTGGTGGGGGACGCTTGGGACAACGCAGCTCCGTATACACCGGACACACGCATGCGTTGGTCGAGGGGGAGATCTCGTCACCGGCGGCAGGCGGTGCCGGGTAATACAGCAGCAGTATAGGCACTCGCGATATCAAAGACCGGATCCTTGGGAAGAGTCGACCTGAACAAGTCTTGGGTAGATTTTTATTTTTTGTCGGAGGATCCGCCGGCTTTTGGGAAGCTGCCAGTCCCGCAGTACATGGCCGATGAGAACCCGCACACAGTAGTTGGCAGCACTAGTAGTCGTAGTAGTATCGATAGTAGTTTATGAGCCACCACCGAGGACATCCGGAGTTCTGAGAGCGGGTAGGGGAAGGGTGGGGGGGGGGGGGGGNAAAAAAGAATAAAAAAAAAGCAACTAAAGCTGCATGGCCCGTCCCACCTTACGTCACTTGGACGGATGGGTTTTTTTTTTTGGGGGGGGGGGGGGGGGGGGGGGGGGGGGGGGGGGGGGGGGGGGGTACGGAGAGACGGAGAGACGGAGACGGAGAGACGGAGAGACGGAGGCAGCCAAGAGGGCGGATAGAGCAGAGATGGAAAGTAGTTGATAAGAGGCAGAGAGAGGGGAAATTCTCAAAAACTTGACGGGCCAGGCCAGACAGCCAGGATTCCTTGGCCTTTTTTTCCCCCCCCGCAACTTGGTCTATGATGCAATGGGTGAAGCAGTAATCTCAGTCTCGATGTTTGGCATCGTAGCAAGACTTTTCTTGTCTTTGTAAGACGGAGCTACGGAGCAGGGAATATTTACTATCAGGTACGCATATATCAGGTACATATATATATATTACGTGCCACTGCTGCGTACCGTGATCCGTAATCCGTACATGAGCATGCAGTCATGATACTCGTATACTCGCACTCGCACTATCATCGCGAGTCGGAGTACCTGTATAAGTAATAATGCCCGCAGGTTACTGCAGTCTGCGGTCAATCCGACTCGCGGTAATATACTCACTCGTATGTATACATGTACGTCGTTTGATCTGTGGATCCTCGACGGAGTTACGGAATCTGGTGAGGAAAACCAGATTTGACCCTACGAGTAGACTTGGACGGAGGCGAAGAGCTCCATTCTTTCTAGGGAGTTTTTTTTTCTTTTCTTTTCTTTTTCTTTTCTTTTTCTTTCCTTTTTCCTTTTTTTTCCCTTTTATTTTATTTTATTTTCACCAACACCACACACACACACACACACTTTCTCTCTCTCTCTACTACTACCTGCTACCCATGTACCGAGGTCTAGCTTTCGTATTTCTCATCATCTTCGATCACCTTCGATCATTCCTTTGAAAAAGTCAGTCTAGCCCAAGAAGGGGTTCATCTCAGGGCGCAAGTGGACTGGTCGCTTTTACGTTTCCATCGTCGTCATGCCCCGAAACCTAAGCCGTAGGTTTCTGCTGGTCTGTATCGACGGCATCGTGATGTTCTGATAAGTACCCGAGCGATAAGACGCAACTGTAGAACTTCAAGGATCACAACTACAGCGCACACGTACATGGCACACACGTGTGCGCAACTGCCTGACACCAACTGGGTGGGAAGGGGACTTTAATCTTGACGGCAGAGCAACTTGCAGATTATCGAGCCACCTGCATTAGGGATGGGTTGCAGCTGGCTCCCTGCCGACTGGCTTGGTAATGCAGATATTGGAGCGTCGGCTCGTTAGGCATTATGCATAGATGGAGGTGTCAGGAGTAGAGAGGGCGTGTGCCGTATACGGTATTGTCAGTAGACACGCAGACAGCAGACAGCAGATGTTACCCTTCTCTCTCTCACACACACACATACACACACACACACATACACACACACACACTCTCTCTCTCTCTCTCTCTCTCTCTCTCGCGCGCGCGCCGGGAGACCCTCCCTTTTCGGATCCGAGGCTCTTGGAGGGGCGAATCTTCTCTCCCTCCCTCCCTCTCTCTCTCTCAACCACATTGCATGTACAAGTCCAATGATTGCATGTACAGGTCCAATGCTGAAACCCGGGACCCAGATTCAACCCGCCTTTATTTTCAATTTTTTTTGGGCGTTTCCATAAAAAAAAATACGACGATCCACGTCGTGGTGGGTATCGATGGAGCCGTTAGTATATAGGACCCCTCATACTTCTCCTTCTTCCTTGCTTCTAGCTTGAATTCCCTTTCCTCTCCATACTGCTTCCCTCACTCCTGCTATATCCTCCCTCCCGTCTTCTCTCCTCCTCCTCCTTCTTCTTCTCTCTTCGAATATACCCCTTTCCAGACATCAGACACGTACACACACACATCACACACACACACACAACATGTCGACCGACTACAAGTTTGAGGGATGGCTGGGCCTGGACCCCGATTCCGCCAAGGGAAACATGAAGTGGGGAGAGTTTGAGCCCAAGAAGTGGACCGAGGACGACGTCGACATCAAGATCACGCACTGCGGCGTCTGCGGCAGCGACATCCACATGCTGCGCAGCGGCTGGTCCGAGACTCCTTACCGTAGGTCGATTCCCGCCGCGTAGCCGGCCGGTCCGATGCCGAAGACGGTCCTGCTAACCTCAGACGTGACGTGCCGGTACAGCCTGCTGCGTCGGCCACGAGATCGTCGGCAAGGCCGTCAGGGTCGGCTCCAACGTCAAGCACATCAGCGTCGGCGACCGCGTCGGCGTCGGCGCCCAGGCCGACAGCTGCCGCTCCCCGGACTGCCCCGACTGCTCCAAGGGCCGCGAGAACTACTGCAGGCGCGGCGCCGTCAACACGTACGGGAGCGTCTACCCCGACGGCGGCGGCAAGTCGTACGGAGGCTACGCCGACTACAACCGCACGCCCGGCCACTTCGTCGTCAAGATCCCCGACGGCCTGCCCTCCGAGTACGCCGCGCCCCTCCTGTGCGGCGGCGTGACCATGTACTCTCCCCTCCGGGAGAAGGGCTGCGGACCGGGAAGCCGCGTCGGCATCGTCGGCGTCGGCGGCCTGGGCCACATGGGCATCATGCTCGCCAAGGCCATGGGCGCCGACCGCGTCGTCGGCATCTCCCGCAAGGCCTCCAAGAGGGACGAGGTCCTCTCCATGGGCGCAGACGACTACATCGCCACCGACGACGACAAGGACTGGGCCGCCAAGCACGCCAACTCGCTCGACCTCATCATCTGCACCGTCTCCAGCGATAAGATGCCCCTCGCCGGTTACCTCGGTACGCTCGACACCTACGGCCACTTCGTCCAGGTTGGGTACGTCACATCCCTCTCCCCTCACCCGCCGGCAGGACCGTTCCCTCTCCTGCTGGGAAAGAAGAAGAGGAAGAAGCAGAGAAGAGAAGGGGGGGAGGAAAGAGAGAAGGCGAAGGAGGAGGAGGAGGAGACGAGAGAGGAAGGCCGAAGTCGAAAGCTGACACCATCTGTAGCGCTCCCGACGGTGGCAAGTTCCCCGAGATCAGCCTGTTCCAGATCATCTTCGGTGCCCGCAGCATCGGCGGCAGTGGCATCGGCTCCCCCGGCGAGATCAGGGACATGTTCCAGCTCGCCGTCGACAAGAACATCAAGCCCTGGGTCGAGCTGAGGCCCCTGGAGGAGGCCAACGCCACCATCGTCGACCTAGAGGAGGGCAAGGCCCGGTACCGTTACGTCCTGGTCAACAACAAGAACCTGTAAGAAGACTCGGTGAGGAATCTCTACGAAGTCGCTGCTGTGGATGCCGCCGTCTCCCTTTCTCTCTGCACGAGGGATGGGGAGGGACGAGGAGGTGAGAGGGACATAGAGTTGGCGTCGTGATGATTTATAAATCTACCTCTATACGGATCCATACATGTTTTCGGGTTATATGAAGGGTAGCATGTAAAGACGGTATCATCGCAATCAAGGAAACTCTAGCACTGCGAGGATCAGAATGACTTCGTCCTTTCCCTCATGGGAGTGAAGATGATACCAAGTGCCAGCCAGATGTCGGGCCTCTTTCTTCTTTCCTCTCCCATCATCTAGTACTCGTTCTACATGTCTGCCGGCCGCATAAGCCGTCCGTATCAATCGTCCGTAGCGACAGCGATGAGCCCTGTGATGTATGCAATCATCTATGAACAGTAATCAGAATCCCAGATATATATAATAATAAAAATATTAGAAAATATTATAAAGAAGACGGTAATAAAAACAACGCCATTGCAGATGAGATCATGGTGGTAGTATTATACTTTCGGAGCCTCCTCCCCCCCCCTCTTCGCCGAAACGTCGACGAGATTCAGCTACCCCCGGCCCACTAATCCTTGTCAGACAAGGCTTCGTCGGCCACGGGCTCGTCGGCCACGACCGCAGCAGGATGAGCGTCATCCTCGGCCGGGGACCACCAGGAGCCGACGGCGGTCCACCCCCTGTGACGCAGACGCAGCCTCCTCCTCCTGACGAGGGAGCAGGCGGCGAGGCTGAGGGCCACGACGACGACGGGCGCCACCAAGGCGTACAGCACGTAGTGGCGCGACAGGGACAGCACCAAGGCGGCGTCCCAGCTGTGCCAGCTGCTGGCGCCCCCGTGGGTGAAGAGCGGGGTGGTGACCTTCCCGCGGAGCATCTGAGGGCCGAGCTGGCCGTCCGTGTCGGCCAGGACGAAGACGCGGTTGGCGAAGCTGCTGCTGTTGCCCGCCGACGGGGCGGGCGGGTGGTCGGGGGTGGCCGAGGACGGGAGGACGTGCTGCTTGACGAGGCCGCGGACGTACGACATCCACACGTTGGTGTAGTACATGCACCCGGTGGACATCATGTTCTCCACGTAGGGGATGCGCATGGGCAGACCCCACGAGCGATCGTGCGACGGGACGGCGGCGAGTATGGCGCCCAGGAGGGGGTGGCCGGGGCGGGACGAGATGAAGGCGTTGTTGACCCCGGCCGGGTGGGCTCCGGGGCTGACAAACGGCAGGCGGACGATGGGCGTCGCGTCCAGGGCCACCCGGCACCACACGTCCAGGTCCAGGTAGACGCCGCCGTGGTGGTGCAGGACCGCGTACCTCAGCACGTTGGCCCGCTGGATGTGCTGCGCGTAGCCCTGGTAGTGCGGCAGGATGTCGGGGTAGTGCTCGCCGATGAAGGCCGTCGCGCTCTCGTCCGTCCACACGATGTGCTCCCAGTCCGGGTGGAGGGTCGTGCAGCTGTCGAGGGCGTCCACGTAGTCGTCCCGGCTGGCGTTGCCCAGCACCACCGAGTGCAGGATCCTGGGCACCGCCGGCTGGTCCCCGGTCTCGTCTCCGTCCGGGGAGGAGGCCGGTGCGGGATATCGGTACAGCAGGTCGGCGTGGTTGCGAATCAGCTCGTAGAATGTCGAGTACGTCACCGCTACCTCGCCTAGCTGGTATATGTGGCCACGAAGGTGGAAGAGGAGTGCCAGCGGCAGGAGGACGCCCACGGCCAGGATGAGGCCGGAACGTAGACGCATGCTGTGCGTGTGCGCTCTGCTTCCTGTCTCTGTCCCGACGTCTTCCTTCGCTTGATGTTGAGAGGAGGAGAGCAGGAGGAGGAGAGGATGGAGAGGAGAGGAAAAAGAAGGGGGAAGAAGAAGAAAAGAGGGAATTAAAGGGTGAAGAGGGAAGAAAGAAGAAGAAGGGAAGAAAAGGGAAGAAGAAGGAAGAAGAGAGACAGTGCCTTGCGGTTTCCTGGGAGGAGGGGTTGGGGTTGGGGTTGGGGTTTACAAGGGTTCAATGTACGTGCAAGGGGAAGATGACGGGATCAGGAGGACTATGCACGGCGAAAGAAGAGAAAGAGGGACCAGACGAGATCACCGACTGGAATGGGACCGTCGAGGGCAGAGAAGGAGGAGGGAGCATGAAATAAGATAAAATGGGAAATAATAAACATTGGTAATCTGACTTCCGAGTGACTTCGTCCTTGGACGCTAGGGAACCGGTCACTGCCCAGACCCCGACCCGACACCGTCTCCCAGGAGGCCGCTTCGGTGGCGAAGAGGAGAGCTAGGTCGGCTAATCTACTATTTTATAATCTGTACTCTGTAGATTTGCTTCTTCCCATCTTTCTTATCGACAGAAACCTTTCTTGCCAGTACAGATTGCATGATTATCACGTATCACCTCGTTGGCCGTACGGATTACTCGTACCGTGCACGTGTACGTATAGAACACGGCAGGCCCGACGGTGAATCTGTACGGTGTACAGGTGATGATGAGCCTCCAACCCCAGCGTCCCCCCCCCCCC